CAGAGCACACTTGTCAATGTCAAATCAGTGAATGTGATGATCACCTAGGGCACCTATACACACGATGGAGCTCTGCTCTGGTCAGAGCAGACTCGATTAATTGAGTCTAATTAGCATGCTCCAGCAGCCGCCAAATCGCATGTATTCAGTGTCCCTGCCTTTCAGAATTGTGGTGGGGGTGCATTAACTAATGCTCATTGAATGAGCTTTAGTTTAAAGTGCCCCTGCCATCATTTTGAAGCATGGGATGCTGAAAACACATGACTCTGCAGGCGCTTAAATTAGAGCAGCTCACAGAGGGGCAGATCTCTGGTACTCTCACCATACTAGGAGCCTGAGGGATGATGTACAAAGTACCTTCTACCATGCATTGACCAGCTGGAGAGCTCAGAGTACCATGAGCTCCTAGAATCATGCTAGGAGCCTGAGGGATGATGTACAAAGTACTAACTTCTATTGCCCTGATCCATGCACTTTCTTCACCATGAACTGAGGGAGAGCAGACTGAAAGCGGCTCCTAAGTAGCCAGGCTGCAAAGGCCAACAAAGATTCAAGCATCTCCACAAGACTGATGCAGCAGACTCATATCCACATTTCTGATACTCAAGGCCTCCCTGTCTCAACAACATTTTCTCTGTACTTCTGCAGACATTTTCCATGGACCATTTACTTAGAGCTATACAACTTCTGCAGTGCTCCTGGGAAGTACAGCCTCACCAACCCAGAAAAGAGGCAGCGAGGCTGTCTTGAGAGCACCCTATGCCACTGTTGTCAAGCACTTTGGAGAAATATAGTTACCCAGGTTTGTCTGAAGTCAAGTAGAAGGAAGGGTAGATTTGCACCTTATAGACTAACCAAAGTGTGTTTGTGTGTGTATAATATATATAATAGGATCTAACATAAAAATATATAGCACAAGCCTTCATGGGCTGAAGCTCTCTTCATCAGATGTGGTCCAAGGACATGCAGAAAGCAGAATATAAGAAGCGCTCTGGAGATGGAGATCTTGAGTGGTTGCAGGGAGTGTCACTGCCTCATTGCTGCATTTGTCTAATGCAGGGCAGGAGCCAAGAGCTGTGTGGCTGCACCTCCCTTGTCACAGTCCTGGATGCCGGTGAACTCTGCATTCACTGGTGTTTCACGGCAGCTACTGCCAGTTTCACGTGTGTTGTGAGCTCGGAGCTCTCCAGATGGTTGATGCAATCTCTGGCTAGATCCCCTGCTCTCATGCAGGTCCAGAGCCCAGGGGGTGCATGCGGCTGCTGCTTGCCTTCCTGACTGATCAGCTGGTGAGCTCAGAGCTCACAACACATGTGGAACACCAGCAGGAGCTTCCCTGACAGGCCAGCAAGCCAAAGAGTTCACTGGGCATGCACTGCACAGCTGAAAGGTGTGATTGTGCCATTTCACCCCCTTGGATCTGCCACGGGCAAGAGCTGTTAGGTGTCTCAGTGGCACTGCAGAAGCAATGTGAAGCATGCCCTTAGGAGCCAGTGGTGTGATGCAAAGTGGATGCTGCCCTGTGTTTCAGAATCTGGCCTGCTTCCATCAGTGAGTGAAGTACTTGAATGCTGGATCTGCACTGTACCTGAATTCCTGACTTCAGAGCAGTGCTAATTTCACTGCAGCCCCTACACAGAGCATGATGGGAATGTTGCCAGGTTTGCCAAACAACCAGATGGCCCAATGTCTGAATTATTAAAAATAGTAGCACAGGGTTGTGCTAATAATAGCAACCTCAGCTTGAGCTGACAGATAGGTGCCAGGAACAGAATACCAGAACATTACTTTCTTTGACAAATTTTAAAGGAAAATATACTTGTAGAAAACTGATTTATAAAAATATATAGCGTTGAAAACAATTTACTGTTTTAAATTTGCTTTGCTCCTTTCATACAGAATAGTATTAATAAGGTAGTGTTTTCCAGGAGAATTAGACCAAGTCGTGGTATAAATGTATAGATACCGAAATGGACTGGCTTGCATTGGGGGCCCTCTACGGAAAGGAATTGGCGTTCTGTGCCAGGTGTTCTGGTACCAGTGTGGCCAACCTTTCTTGCAGGAATATCAGAAGCAGGACCTTTAATCTTGCATGTTCCCCCATTCCCCCTGCTGATTGGTGGAGGGGCCCCGCTTGCGGCTTGCTCCTGATCAGCAGGGAGGAGAAAACTGTGGTTTTAAATATGGCACTGCTTTTGCCTCCCACCATGAACTGGCTAACGGGCCCTGGACAGTCCTTCTGTTTACTGCTGACTGGCGGGGAGGCAAAAATTGTGCCATGTTTAAAACTGTGGGTTTAGCTTCCCTGCTGATCAGGAGGGAGCGGTTGGGTCCTCCACTAATCGGCAGTGATGGGGAAGGGTGAGGTGCACGTGGGGGATCATGCCAGATTAAAGGAACCGACATGCACTTGACCTCCACCATGAATTTTGTAGGTCCCTAATCAGAAGTTAAGCACTATACCTTCCCTAAATGCCACTCTGATTCCAACCCAGTCCAGCCCTAGCATACTTGATAGTTTGTGCCCTAGGGTGCCAGCATGATGATAGGGGAGCTTGAGTGTTCAGCTGCATGGAGGATCGCAGAGCAGAGTGCAGGTAGGACTGCACAATGAGGCCCTACACCCACCCCAGTTTTGTGTGGCAAGTGAAGATGAAAATGAATTTGGTAGTGACTGCAGGACTCTTGGCAGTGACTTCTGGCACCTCCTCTTGTCCTGCTCCAACTCTGCATCATATGCCTGGTGCCCCCCTTTACTGAGTGCCCAGGGCTCACTACCCACACACAGCAGCTTGCCCTGCCCTATTCTGTTAACTGTATTCTATTAACCAGGTAAGAGTAATAGGGATCATTTTGGGGGTGGAAATGCTGGGAATTCCTGAGTTGCCAGTCCTTTGCAAAACATGTTGCTTCACTGTTACCTGAACTTCTTAAGCATTGCTCCATTTATTTTCTGTGTCCACTTGTTGCGTCTTTTCATAAACCCAGGGAATGGATGGTCTTTTTACACTAGTTTTATACTGTGATCAGTTAAATGGGACTCTGAGCCACCTTTCAGTCATTAAATTCCCTGGACTTCCTGTAGTGTGATGTTGAAACCTGAGCTGTAATTCTTCTAACTTCTCATTTGTAATCTTTTGTCTTTTGTCAGTTTGGAGACGGGTGAACTGCAATCAAGGCTTCAGGGTCCTGTGATAATTACTATCCAGGTTGTCCAAAAAATCTTCCCAGGAAAATTTAGTTTGATGATTTCTAATGCAAAAACTGAGCAGAAAGAAAGCTGCTAGAATGCTTCCTTATTCATCGTTTGGGATCACATAAGGCACATTACATACATAACTGTTGCCATTCACTTTTCACTTCCTGTAAAGAGTTTAAGAAATGGAAAAGGATTAGGATGATCTTCTAGTCCCATGCTTTAATGTAAACCCTTTTTTAATCTTTGATATCATTTTTCATTGAAGTTGTTTATACTGTTATTAGTCAGTAGGACTGAAAGTTTCAAATTAAGCTCTCAACATTTTTTTCTTTTCAGAGCCTGTGTCATCTTGGGTGTGATATTTCTTCTGTCATCTATATGTATAGTGGTCAAAGCCATCCATGACCTTGCGAATAAGTTGCTCCCAGAAGTGGTAAGATCATTTGTGTTCTTTATGATACTCTCCCAGTCCCTGGTCCTGCACTGAGATGTAGGAGGACGTATCTTTGCACTTTGAAGGAGCCCCACTGAATTCTGTGGAGCATCAGCAGGTATCTAGACCGCCTGTCTGCACTCACTGGAGGTTCAAGACCTTAAAGCAAGGTCTTGCTTTTTCCTGTTTTCAAGGGTGCAGTCTATGAGGTCTACTTGATGTACAAACTTGACTACCATTACCATTACAGGCCTAATCATGTTTGTCTTACTCACTTAAAATTCCTATTGAGGGTTACAGGAGCTGATGAGAACAAAGCTTGATGAAGGTAATGAAAGCAAGATTTGTCCACTTCGGATACATTTTGTAATGAGCGGAAAGTTTCCATGGATTAATGCTCTGTTTACTTATGCATTTCATTTTTAATGAAAACGTACTTTGGGTTAGTGTGTGTGTATGTATTCTTGCTCTTGCCTGTACTTCCAGAGATATGCATGGGTTACAGGCGAAAAAGTAGAGTGGGGAGTATGTTTTAACCTCTCCTGGGAGAAAGGGCCAGGTCTTCAAGCTATGCAGAGGCTTCGGAAAATCTTTTATCTTGCTCTCTAGTCTTTGGGTAGCTAAGAATTCAACCCCTATCATGTCTATCAGAGCAGCCCTGCCCTCCCTATCAACCAATTTTTCACCTCTACTCTGCCCGTCTTGCTTCCTTTTTGACCTCTTGCTTCCAGCAGTAGTCAATCCTTGACCCATCCAACCTGACTCTTCAGTGGAAGAGGCAAAAGATCCCTCTTGTTTTTCACTGATCTAAATATTTAATCTTGAACATACCCGCTGGCTGATGTACACAAGTATGTCAAGTCTGGGTGCTCAAAAAGCTAAACATAAAACATCAAAGATCATATCTTTGGCATTGAACCCCGTGGACACAATTCACCATGCCAAAGTAGTGCTTCATTGATTTGGCCCCACACGTTATTGGGCCAGGACCCTGATCATGTGATTTCAGGTGGGGGTGGAGGCAGGGCTGAAAAAGGCAAAATGGAATTTCAAATTGTTCATTCTCTTAGGGCCCCTCCAGACGCTCAGGTAAAGGCATGATAGAATCTGATGTGCGATCCACACAATTGTACCTCCTGCCATGGCACACGTGCATGGCAAGAGGTATGATTGTAGGGTGGGATAGTGCATTAGATCCCTTCATACCTCATTGCCAGTGCAGGGGGAGCCCAGAATCATGATCCTGGGCTCCCCCTGCACTGGCAAGTAGCAAGCTCCTGTGACTGGGAGAACCCCCAGCTGACAGGGCCCCCGGCCGTGGGGGTGCATCAGCCACCAGGGTGCCCTTGGCACACATTCAATTAATTGCATAATAGGAACTAGCCAAAAAGTTATTCCACATTTTTTGTGGAATTACTTTGTGGCTTACTCCTCCTTTTATCACTCCATTAATTGATTGACTATTTGGCCGGGTCACAACTTAAGATGTGATTCACTAGTTAATGACATCTTCAGTGTAATGTGTGGCAGGGGCAGAGCCAGTCTAGGCCCAGCAGGGTATAAAAGAAGAATCCCCAGGCAACCAGGGAGCCAGTGAACAGGGGCTGCAAACAGGGTAAGCAGTTCGCAAGCCAGTTTTGAGTCCAGTTCATGGGCCCTCCCCCCCTTCTGTGAGGGGCAAGCTTTTCAGTTTGGTAGGTGGAAGGTGGAAAATAGGGAAGGGCTGCTTGGAATAAGAGCAGTTAGAGAGAGGAGGCAGATTCAGAGACCCAGGGACATGGCTCGAGGATGTTGCAATGCCAGAGCCACTGCCACTGCCTCTGCTCGCACCTGTGAGGCTTCTGTCCAAGCAGGACCATCAACGCTTCCACCCAGGTCCAGGTTTGGTGCTGTGGGGACCACGGCTTGCAGGTTCCTTCCAGTGATGGTCAGGTCAGGGAGTGCTTGCGGTGTAAATGGTGCATCTTGGTGGTGTTTCTCAGGAGGAGGTGGTGAGGCTCTGAAGCATCCTTTGCCATGAGGCGTTCATCGGTTTGATGCTGGAGGAGACCTCTGGGACTGTGGAGGAAGAACTGCCAGAGGCTGTGCTACAGAAGAGGAAGGACATGGACACCCAAGAGAGTGGAAACTGGAGGCTTGTGACTTCTGGCAGCAAGCCGAAATCTTCACCTCCACCTGTAGTCATTCATCTGGAGAACAGATGTGCAGCCCTAGCAGCAGAGAGGGAGGAGCATGTTCCATTGGTGGAGGAAGACAAGCCAGGCCTCATTAAGGTGGGAAGGTTTGAGATGACAGCCACCAAGAAGAAGTGTTTCTTCTGTGATCGAGATCAAAGCTTCTCGATCACAGGCCCTGGTTCTCATGGGGGACTTCATTCACCTTGACATCTGCAGGGAGGGCAAAATAGCAGTGCACAGGCAATTCAGGAAGTTTTTGGAGAGCGTTGGGGACAACTTCCTGGTGCAGGTGCTGGAGCAACCAACTAGGGACTGTGCTATTCTTGACCTGCTGCTCAGAAACAGGGAAGAATTGATGGGGAATGTAGTAGTGGATGGTAACTTGGGCAGCAGTGACCACAAGATGATAGAGTTCAGGATCCTGAGGAAAGGAAGGAAGGAGAGCAGCAGAGTAAGGACCCTGGACTTCAGAAAAAGAGACTTTGACTCACTCAGGAAACTGATGGGCAGGATCTCCTGGAAAGTTAATCTGAGGGGGAGAGGAGTGTAGGAGAGCTGGCTGTACTTCAAAGAAGCCTTACTGAGAGTGTAGGAACAAACCATCCTGATGCGCAGGAAGACTAGCAAATATGCCAGAAGACTAGCTTGGCTTAGCAGGGAACTCTTCAGTAAACTAAATCACAAAAAGGAAGCTTATAAGAAGTGGAAACTTGGACAAATGACTAGGGAAGAATATAAGAGCATTGCTTGGGCTTGCAGGGATGAAGTTAGGAAGGCCAAAGCTCAACTGGAATTGCAACTAGCAAGGGGTGTGAAGGGTAACAAGAAGGGTTTCTACAAATATGTTGGTAGCAAGAGGAGGATCATGGAAAGTGTGGGTCCCTTACCGAATGGGGGAGGCAACCTTGTGACAGAGGATGCAGAAAAGGCTGAAGTACGCAATGCCTTTTTTGCCTCAGTCTTCACAGGCAAGGTCAGCTCCCAGACTACTGCACCAGGCAGCACAGTTTAGGAAGGAGGCGAGCAGCCCACACTGGTGAAAGAATAGGTTCATAGATTCATAAATGTTAGGGTCGGAAGGGACCTCAATAGATCATCGAGTCCGACCCCCTGCATAGTCAGGAAAGTGCTGGGTCTAGATGACCCCAGCTAGATGCCTATCTAACCTCCTCTTGAAGACCCCCAGGGTAGGGGAGAGCACCACCTCCCTTGGGAGCCCGTTCCAGACCTTGGCCACTCGAACTGTGAAGAAGTTCTTCCTAATGTCCAATCTAAATCTGCTCTCTGCTAGCTTGTGGCCATTATTTCTTGTAGCCCCCGGGAGCGCCTTGGTGAATAAATACTCACCAATTCCCTTCTGTGCCCCCGTGATGAACTTATAGGCAGCCACAAGGTTGCCTCTCAGCCTTCTCTTGCGGATGCTGAAAAGGTCCAGTTTCTCTAGTCTCTCCTCGTAGGGCTTGGTCTGCAGGCCCTTAACCATACGAGTGACCCTTCTCTGGACCCTTTCCAGGTTATCCGCATCCCTCTTGAAGTGCGGTGCCCAGAATTGCACGCAGTACTCCAACTGCGGTCTGACCAGCGCCCGATAGAGGGGAAGTATCACCTCCTTGGATCTATTCGTCATGCACCTGCTGATGCACAATAAAGTGCCATTAGCTTTTCTGATGGCTTCGTCACACTGCCGACTCATGTTCATCTTGGAGTCCACTAGGACTCCAAGATCCCTTTCCACTTCTGTGCCATGTTAGGTTAGGGACTACTTAGAAAAGTTGGACATGTACAAGTCCATGGGGCCAGATTGGATGCATCCCAAGGGTGCTGAGGGATTTGACTGATATGATTGGAGAGCCATTGGCTATCATCTTTGAAAACTCATGGTGATCAGGACAGGTCTCAGATGATTGGAAAAGGGCAAACAGAGCCCTTTAAGAAAGGGAAGAAAGAGTATCCAGGGAATGACAGACGGGTCAGGTTCACCTCAGTTTCTGGAAAAATCATAGAGCAGATCCTCAAGGAATCCATTTCTAAGCACTTGGAGGAGAAAAAGGTGATTAGGAACAGTCGGCATGGATTCACCAGGAGCAAGTCATGCCTGATCAACCTGATTGCCTTCTATGATGAGGTGACTGGCTCTGTGGATGCAGGGAGAGCAGTGGATGTGATACCTTGATTTTAGCAAGGCTTTTTATGTGGTCTCCCTCAGCTTTCTTGCAGGCTAGCTAAGGAAGTATGGGCTGGATGAATGAACTGTAAGGTGGATAGAAAACTGGCTGGAGAATTGGGCTCAGAGAGTACTAATCAATGGCTTGATGTCTAGTTGGCAGCCTGTATCAAGTGGAGTGCCCTAGGGTTCAGTTTTGTTCAATGTTTTAATCAACGACCTGGACGATGGGATGGATTACACCCTTAGCACGTTTGCAGATGACGCCAAGCTGGGGGAAGGAGTAGATATAGTGGAGGGTAGGGCTAGGATTCAGAGTGACTTAGACAAATTGGAGGATTAGGCTAAAAGGAATCTCATGAGGTTCAACAAGGACAAGTGCAAAGTCCTGCACTTAGGGCAGAGCAGTCTCATGCACTGGTTCAGGCTGGGAGTTGATGAGCTGGGCAGCAGCTCTGCAAAAAAGGACCTGGGGGTTATAGTGGACAGTAAGCTGAATATGAGCCATCAGTGTGCCATTGTTGCCAAGAAGGCTAATGGCAGACTGGGCTGCGTTGGTAGAAGTATTGCCAGCAGGTCAAGGCAAGTGATTATTCCCCTCTGTTCAGCACTGGTGAAGCCACATCTGGAGTAGTGTGTCCAGTTTTGGGCCCCCCACT